TTTTTTTTTTTTTTTCATCTAAAAACTTTGTTGTTGTTCTATATTGTCGACATGCTAATCGTGTTTATAATGCCATTAAAGCAAAATAGAGGTGCTCATTTTCGTGTGGATCCTAGGGAGAACAAAGTCTTGGGCTTTAGTTTAGGGTCCAATACCTTCCCTTAAGCTTGTTTTTGGGCTTAAAGCTCATTGATTGATAAGATTCAAATCCCGTCCAGAAAAATATATAATTAGAGTGGACCAACTAAATCCTTTGAGTTGTTAATTATAAATTGGGCGAATATCAGCCCAAAATAAGAATTTGATTGACACTCGACCCTAAAATCTTCATATTATTAGATCCATGTCCACGCAAACAATGTAAGTCGCTTTAATAATCGTATTTCCTTGAAATCAATTTTGGAGGAGTTGTTCATGATTTTATCAACACAGCAAAATTTAGAGGAAGCTAAGTTGGCATTTCGATAGTTTGCTGCAATTCTATAATACCAATTTCACGTACTTATTCTCACTCGATCTCCTTTTCATATTCCTTCCTGCTAGTTAAAGATTTCCCAAGAATTAGATAATTTTTGGGTTGGGGTGGTAGGGAATCACGCCAATGATTGTTCCTGCAGTTTTGCCAGGTCTAAGCCCAACAGCCCCAGACCTCCAAAACAGGCCCAATTGTCATAATAACACCTGGACTTTTAGCTTTATTTCTAATTGCTCTTGGCACTTCGGTTGAGTTAAAAAAGCATAGGTCCTCGTTATTAGATCCTCCTAAGCCCTCCCAAATCTCCCATGGTTTAGTGATCACCGTAAAGATCGCAATCTTTGACCTCATCAGGCACTGGAATTCCCTTAATTTTTCGGCAGTGGCAATAACAAAAACGTTCGTCAGTTGGTGAAAACTTGTATCCAGCAGGTAGTTTGTTGGAAGAATATTAGTGTTTTCCTGGCCTGGCTAGTAGACTGATAGTTTCGACTTTTCTCGAAGAATAATGAATTAGGTTAAACTTTTAAGGACATCAAAGGTGTTATAAAGTGGCGGTTTAAATTAAGTCCACCAATTAGATAGCACTCATTTGTAAATTAGGATATGAACTAGTTAATACTCAATGTCGTTTAGTTACTAGAAATGAAGGATTTGAAACAGAAAAATGAGAATCATAATAAAAATTAGGGAATGAAAATGATATTTGTATTTACATACTCTATTTGGAATACTAATAAATAATTAAAATGAAATTTAAAATTTTTAATATCTTATTTTTAATATGAATGAAAATAATAATTAAAAAATAATTTCATTAACTATGATGGTAGTAAAAATAATAGAGATGATTGTAGTAGTAGTGACGACGATATTAATAAAGTTTGAGGATGATATGGTAGTAATAACAATAATATATTTTAAAAAAATTGATATTATCATCATAGGAGGTGGCAATAAAAGAAAAGTAATGATGATGGTATAATAAAAATAATGATGGTGATAATGAAGGAGGATCGATGATAGAATAATAATAATAATTTCTTTTATTATCATTGCCAATGAAGACAACGATAGTAATGTCTGGTTGTAGTGGTGGTAATAGAAATTGTTAATATAAAATAAATAAAAATAATATATTATTATTTTGAAAAAAATTCTTTTTTATTTTTTTCTTATCTTTCACATGAAAATAAAGTCACGTGTAATTTTCATTTCTATTTTCAGTTTATTCTTTACAACCAAACAATTATAAGATAGAAATACAATTTTTATTTCTATTTTTACCACTCCATTTCTAGTAACCAAATATCATTTTATAGTATTCTTGATTTTTGTATTTGACTATTTACTTAACTATTTTTGTTCTAATTTTAATTATGTATGTTCTGTTTTAATATATTATCATTATATTCTTCTATTGGTGGAAAGTAGAAACAAATTTCCAAACGTTCACCCTAAGTTTTCTTTTTATTCGCAATTTGATTCGTCCATTTATGTGGGAGTGGGACTAGGATTCCCATTAATTTTGACTATTGTTTGGCCCTTCTTGGGCTCTAAGACCCCATAAAATTTAATTCTGTCCCCACATCTCTCTCTCTCTCTCTCTCTCTCTCTCTCTCTCTCTCATGCACACACACGAGTAACATTTAACACCAATATATATGTATAATTAATTTGAATATATTTACTTATCCGTAATGCCTTTATCAAGCCGCCACCACAACATGCATTAACTCTCTCTCTCGAGAACATTTTACTTATAAAATTAAAGGGTTGTATATCAAACAAATAAAAAAAAATTATTTGTTATAAAAGAAATGATAACAACGATAGAACTAGAGATAAAAATGATGAAGAAATGATTTCATTATGAAATAAAAAGAATAGAAAAAAAAAACAACTCTAAACAATTCTCTTAATCTTTACAAAATGCTTGTATATATCAACTAATGAACAATCAAGCCTATTTATAGGCTTCAAGATTAAGGAGAAAATTGGAAGGAACTACAAACTATTAAAAGATGATTGAATTGCATCATCCTTTTAATTTCTCAAATTGAATGGTGAATTGAATCACATTAAGAATAATGGGTAATGAGAATATGAAATGGTCATGGACATTCATTATTTTATTACACTCCCCTTGAATGTCCATCGAACAAGGAACATGCCTCGTTAAAACCTTACTAGGAAAAAAACCTAGTGGAAAAAAACCCTAATGAAGGCAAAATAGTACAATATTCCTTGTACACATTAATCTTAATGTTGGCCTTTGACCTCCCCCGTTGAAAACATCATTTGAGATCGTTAAAATGATGTATTTCAATCTTGTGAATCATCTTCTCAAAAGTTATGGTAGGTAATGCCTTAGCGAACAAATTTGCTGGATTGTCACTTGATCGAATTCTTTATTTAATAAAATTATACAAGCAACATTATTTTCATATGATATTGTTGGAGTTTCTTTTACTCGGTAGATAAACTGCATGTCTCTCGGATATGATGGATCGTTGATCTTAGCTAAACACGTTCTCGACTTGCCTCATGAATTTGTATTTTTCCATGGTTTGAATATTTAGCTCCTATAGTTTGCTTCATAGAACGCCATGATATAGCTATATCACCAAGTGTAAACACATAACCCGTTTATGATCGAGTTTTGTATAGATCGGATAGATAACCTATATTTGCATAACCAATTAAACTTGACTTTGATTTATTTGAGTAAAATAAATATCATATCAAATTTTCCTTGAAGATAACGTAAGAAATATTTAATTTCATTTCAATCTACATATTGGAGTAGAACTATGACTTGCTAATAAATTTATAGAAAAGACTATATCGAGTCGAGTATTATTAGTAAAATATATCAATGCACCGGTGGTAGTAAGACAATGGTACTTCGGGACCAAGCGGTTCTTTGTTATCTTTTCAAGCTCGAAAAGGATCTTTTTGGATATCAAGTAAATGAACCACCATTAGGCTAGTTAATGAATAATCTTTATATAGAATCATTGTAGAACTTTTTCTATATAAATTGATTGATGAATAAAAATCTCATTCTCCGAGTTCTCGAACTGCAAGTCGAGATAATATTTTGTTTTTCCAAGGTATTCACATCAAATTCTCTTTTTAGATAACTTATGACACTTGGAATCTCTTCGAGAGTTCGAATAATATTTAAGTTATCAACATATACAACAAACCCCTTTTCAAATAAAAATATATAAATAAATAGGGTTATTTTTTTATAACTTTCTTTCAATAAATATTTATTGAAATAATTATACTACATGCACACGGAGTTAGTAATGAAAAGTATATATTGAAAAATAAAATAAATAAATAAATATAAAAAGTATAGCATAAATTGAATTTGTAAAAACTAATATTAAAATAATCATAATAGAGATCTCTATAATTTAATTGAATTCTTTTCTTGAGAATATGTATTACATGCTTTTGGCATGTTAAATCCTTCTAGAACTTTCATACCGATATCATTTTAAATGAATAAATAAACTACGATCACATTAATTAAATGCATGCTATATGAATTTTTTAATATATTTTGCTAGGCTAATGAGATAACAAAATATAATTGTATCCATTATAAGAGAATATGTCTTCTCATAGTTAATATGAGCTCTTTGCAAAAACTCTTGTGTTATAAGTCTTGCTTTGTATCTCATAATTTCATCTTTCTTATTTTATTTTCATAAAAATACATATTTATATCCCACTAGCTAAACATCTTTAGGTGTTTTAGCTATGAGTTCAAAAAACTACTATTTTGTAGAAGAATATAATTTTGCTTGGATTGCTCTTTTCATTTAGGTCAATCATCTTTATGTCAATATTCTTCAATAAATTTTGGCTCGGGATCCTTATTTCTATTCAAAATATCAATTGCAATATTGCATGCCAAAATCTTATGAATAGATGTTTCTTTTCGATCCTATTTTCTCCCTGTATTAACATAATTTATCAAAATCTCTTGATTTTCTCAAGCATTTGGACTTTTTCCGGAAGCATATTATCGAAATATCTATTAGAGTGGACCAACTAAATCCTTTGAGTTGTTAATTATGAATTGGGATAATATCAGCCCAAAATAAGATCGGGCAGTTTTGATTGACACTCGACCCTAAAATCTTAATATTATTAGATCCATGTCCACGTAAACAATGTAAGTCGCTTTAATAATAGTATTTCCTGGAAATCCATTATGGAGGAGTTGTTCATGATTTTATCAACACAGACAAAATTTAGAGTAAGCTAAGTTGGCATTTCCATAGTTTGTCTGCAATTCTATAATACCAATTTCACGTACTTATTCTCACTCGATCTCCTTTTCATATTCCTTCCTGCTAGTTAAAAATTTCCCAAGAATTAGATAATTTTTGGGTTGGGGTGGTAGGGAATCACGCCAATGATTGTTCCTGCAGTTTTGCCGAGTCTAAGCCCAATAGCCCCGGACCTCCAAAACGGGCCTAATTGTCATCATAACACCTGGACTTTAAGCTTTATTTCTAATTGCTCTTGGCACTTTGGTTGAGTTAAAAATGCATAGGTCCTCGTTATTAGATCCTCCTAAGCCCTCCCAAATCTCCCATGGTTTAGTGATCATCGTAAATATCGCAATCTTTGACCCCATCGAGCACTTGGAATTCCCTTAATTTTTCGATAGTGGCAATAACAAAAACGTTCGTCGAGTTGGTGGAAACTTGTATCCAGCAGGTAGCTTGTTGGAAGAATGTTAGTGTTTTCCTAGCTCGGCTAGTAGGTCGATAGTACATCAAAGGTGTTATAAAGTGGCGGTTTAAATTAAGTCCACCAATTAGATAGCACTCACACGTAAATTAGGATATGAACTAGTTAATACTCAATGTCGTTTAGTTACTAGAAATGAAGGATTTGAAACAAAAAAATGAGAATCATAATCAAAATTAGAGAATGAAAATGATATTTGTATTTACATACTCTATTTGGAATACTAATAAATAATCGAAATAAAATTTAAAATTTTTAATATCTTATTTTTAATATGAATGAAAATAATAATTAAAAAATAATTTCATCAACTATGATGATAGTAAAAATAATAGAGATGATTGTAGTAGTAGTGACGACAATAGTGATAGAGTTTGAGGTTGATATGGTAGTAATAACAATAATATATTTTAAAAAAATTGATACTATCATCATAGGAGGTGGCAATAAAAGAAAAGTAATGATGATGGTGTAATAAAAATAATGATGGTGATAGTGAAGGAGGATCGATGATAGAATAATAATAATAATTTCTTTTATTATCATTGCCAATGAAGACAAGTGGTGATGATGCTAGTTGTAGTGGTGGTAATAGAAATTATTAATATAAAATAAATAAAAATAATATATTATTATTTAAAAAAATTCTTTTTTATTTTTATTTTTTCTCATCTTTCACATGAAAATAAAGTCACGTGTAATTTTCATTTCTATTTTCGGTTTATTCTTTACAACCAAACAGTTATAAGGTAGAAATACAATTTTTATTTCTATTTTTACCGCTCCATTTCTAGTAACCAAATATCATTTTATAGTATTCTTGATTTTTTGTATTTGAATGTTTACTTTACTATTTTTGTTCTAATTTTAATTTTGTATGTTCTTTTTTAATATATTATCATTATATTCTTCTATTGGTGGAAAGTAGAAACAAATTTCCAAACGTTCACCCTAAGTTTTCTTTTTATTCGCAATTTGATTCGTCCATTTATGTGGGAGTGGGACTAGGATTCCCATTAATTTTGACTATTGTTTGGCCCTTCGTAGGCTCCAATACCCTATAAAATTTAATTCTGTCCCCACATCTTCACTCTCTCTCTCTCTCTCTCTCTCACACACACACACACACACACGAGTAACCTTTAACATCGGTATAGATGTATAATTAATTTGGATATATTTACTTATCCGTAATGCCTATGTCAAGCCACCACCACAACATGCATTAACTCTCTCTCTCGAGAACATTTTACTTATAAAATTAAAGGGTCAGTATATCAAACAAATAAATAAAAAATTTATTTGTTATAAAAGAAATGGTAACAATGATAGAATTGGAGATAAAAATGATGAAAAAATGATTTCATTATGAAATAAAGAGAATAGAAAAGATAACAACTCTACACAATTCTCTTAATCTTTACAAAATGCTTGTATATATCAACTAATGAACAATCAAGCCTATTTATCGGCTTCAAGATTAAGGAGAGAATTGGAAAAGACTACAAACTATTAAAAGATGCATGAATTGCATCATCCTTTCAATTTCTCAAATTGAATCATATTAAGAATAATTGGCAATTGAAATATGAAATGGTCATAGATATTCATTATTTCATTACACTCCCCTCGAATGTCCATCGTACAAGGACCATGTCTCGTTAAAACCTTACTAGAAAAAAACCAAGTAGAAAAAAATCCTAGTGAAGGCAAAAGAGTACAATATTCCTTGTACATATTAATCTTAATGTTGGCATTTAACCTCCCCTTGTTGAAAACATCATTTGAGATCTTTAAAATGATGTATTTCAATCTTGTGAATCATCTTCTCAAAAGTTATGATAGGTAATGCCATAGTGAACAAATCTGTTGGATTGTCACTTGATCAAATTCTTCCTTTAATAGAATTATGCAAGCAAAATTATCTTCATATGATATCGTTGGAGCTTCTTTTCTGGTAGATAAGTTGCATGTCTCTCGGATATGATGGATTATTGATCTTAGCCAAACACATTCTCGACTTGCCTCATGAATTTGTATTTTTCCATGGTTTGAATATTTAGCTCCTATAGTTTGCTTCATAGAACGTCATGATATAGTCTGTATCACCAAGTGTAAACACATAACTCTGTTTATGATCGAGTTTTGTATAGATCAAATAGATAACTCGCATCCGCATAACCAATTAAACTCGACTTTGATTTATTTGAGTAAAATAAATATCATATCAAATTTTCCTCGAAGATAACATAAGAAATATTTAATTCCATTTCGGTCTTCATATTGGAGTAGAACTATGACTTGCTAATAAATTTATAGAAAAGACTAGATCGAGTCGAGTATTATTAACAAAATATATTAATGCACCGAGTGGTAGTAAGACAATGATACTTCGGGACCAAACGGTTCTTTGTTATCTTTTCAAGCTCGAAAAGGATCTTTTTGGATATCAAGTGAATGAACTACTAGTGAGCTAGTTAATGAATGATCTTTATATAAAATCATTGTAGAACTTTTTCTATATAAATTGATCGATGAATAAAAATCTCATTCTCCGAGTGCTCGAATTGCAAGTTAAGATAACATTTTGTTTTTCTAAGATATTCACATCAAATTCTCTTTTTAGATAACTTATGACACTTGAAATCTCTTCGGGAGTTCGAATAATATTTAAGTTATCAACATATACAACAAACCCCTTTTCAAATAAAAATATATGAATAAATAGGGTTATTTTTTTATAACTTTCTTTCAATAAATATTTATTGAAATGATTATACTACATGCACATAAGGTAGTAATGAAGAGTAGATATTGAAAAATAAAATAAATAAATAAATATAAAAGTATAGCATAAATTGAATTTCTAAAAGCTAAAATAATAAAACTAGTATTAAAATAATCTTAATAGAGATCTCTATAATTTAATTGAATTATTTTATCGAGAATATGTATTACATGCTTTTAACATGTTAAGTCCTTCTAGGACTTTCATACCGATATCATTTCAAATGAACAAATAAATTGTGATCAAATTCATTGAATGCATGCATATGAATTTTTTTATATATTTTGCCAGGCTAATGAGATAACAAAATATAATTGCATCCATTATAGGAGAATATGTCTCCTCATAGTCAATATGAGTTCTTTGCAAAAACTCTTGTGTTATAAGTCTTGTTTTGTATCTCATAATCTCATCTTTCTTATTTTGTTTTCATAAAAATACATATTTATATCCCACTAGCTAAACATCTTCAAGTGTTTTAGCTATAAGTTCAAAAAATTATTATTTTGTAGGAAAATATAATTTTGCTTGGATTGCTCTTTTCATTTAGGTCAATCATCTTTATGTCGATATTCTTCAATAAATTTTAGCTCGGGATCCTTATTTCCATTCAAAATATCAATTGCAACATTACATGCAAAAATTTTATGAATAAATGTTTATTTTCGATCCTATTTTCTCTTTGTATTGACATAATTTATCAAAATCTCTTGATTTTCTCAAGCATTTGGACTTCTTCGGAAGCATTTATCATAAATATCTTAGACCATATTATGAATATTGTCATCTTTTATATTTTCATCTTACCCTTTTCTTTTAGGAATTTTTATCTTTTAGAGCTGATCGATCTTCCACGCTTCATGCGTGCTTTAGATTCAATAGCTATATCATTAATAGACTATCCTTCTAAGACATCAATTCTAATAAAAGCATTCTCAACGAGGACATGTATTTTAGTTACTTTTTTAGGATATGAGAATGCATCCAGCAGTTGGTTTGTAATACCTTATAAACGAATTATCTTCTAAACTTCTAGTTCACACATTGTTTTGTACTAAATTGATATAAAGATAGAGTACTCTATGTAATCTCTTTTGTTTTTAACATTTTCAACTGATTATTTTGTTTATTCTCTCTCCCTAATGTTGGAAAAACTATTTCATCAAAATGATAATCGATAAATCAAGTCTGTAAAATATCACTTATTCATGGTTCAAGATATTTAATTATCGAAAAGAATTCAAATCCAACATATATTTTCAATCTCCATTAAATGTCCATTTTATTTCATTATGAAGGAGTACTAAGGATATACACTCGTAATGCTAAAAAATTCTCAAATAAGAAATATTTAGCTCATGACCATAAACCAATTAAAGGGAGGAGAATTTTTGATAACTTATGGGTCCGATGCGAATAAATATTGTATGTCCCCAAACATAAACATGGAGTTTTATTTTTAAATAATGGTTTAGCTATCAATTGGAGTTTTTTGATAAATAATTTTGCTAAACCTTTTCGAGTATGAACATAAGCAACATGATGTTCAACCTTTATTCTAATAGCCAATCAATAATCATTTAATGCTTAGAAGATAAATTTACTAGTATTATCAAGATGACTTGTTTTAATGGCATAATCTAAAACTTATGCTCAAAATCAAATTATTTACTAACAATCTAGAAAACGTCGGGTTTTGAGGAGATAATAAACATATATGTGACCATCTTGTGGATGCATCTATTAAAACCATTAAATATTTAAATGGCACACATGATGGATGAATTGATCCACACATATCACCTTGAATACATTCTAAAAATACTGAAGATTCAATCTCAATTTTATTTAGTGATGGTTTAATAATCAATTTACCTTGAGACTATGCGGAACATGAAAATTTCTTAAATTGAAGAATCTTCGGCTCTTCAATAGATGTCCATATGAATTTTTAATAATTTTTTGCATCATAAAAGACTCAAGGTAACACAACTCGTCATGTCACATAATAAAAGTATTTGAATTAGTAAACTTCGGTTTACTATAACATTTATTTCAATCATTCCAATGTTTATAATAAAGACCAAAAGAGAAAGCGGGTAAAATTTTTCAA